AAAAAAATGCTGCATCTATCGCGAAAGTCGCTAAATTTCAAGAATATTATAAATGGCTAAATATATTTATGGATATATTATTCATATATAATTGTAATAAGAAATATTACTGTATCTCCATGCATGTTAATACACGTCAATGATAATGTTCCTGTTTAAACCAAATAACACAATCAAATGATTCATCTTGCACTGCATATCCGTTTCCATCTTTGCCTCCAATTATTGTCTTACATGATCTCCTTTTGATCTTATATCCTCCAATATCTCTCCTTATTTTCCCGCGCTATGATATGCACGTATACTTTGCCTATATAAGACATCAAATCTTCATTCATCTCCTCATTCTTTCTACTTCTTCTTCCGTTTAGGTTACGCGTTTACTTTATGGCTTGTTTCTTGTTTTCACATCGTATGTTTACTATTGTTGCTATGGTTTAATTACCCATCTTTGTGGTTCTAATAAACGGTCAAACGATTCCTACTGTTCACACACGCACACACACACACACACACACACACACGCACACACACACACACACACACACGCACACACACACACCAACAAAGCAATCTATTTTCGCTACAGCATCGATTTTTTTTTTTAAATCCTAAGTTTCAATTTTTTATTTGAATTTATTTAATTCAACAAACAAACATACACCTTTCTAAGCTGCATTGAACTTTTGAATCCTAAATTTCAGTTTATTTGAATTAAATTCAACAAAAAAAAAGAAATCCTTTACTGGGATTTTTGTTTGTTGTTTTTGTTTATTTATTTGAATTATTGAAATTTTTTTTTTGAATTTAAAAAGTCAGAAAAAATGCTTATGAAATTTGCGAAGAGATAAAAATATGAAATAGAGCACTTGAAATGTAATGATCAAACATTAATCGTTGGACATCGTTTGCAACTATTTCAAATTATTGCAGATTTCAATATTTTGAAATGTCCATTTACCATATTGATTGTACTAAGTGTATTTAAATCGGTGGATAAAATGATAGATGGGACGTTAAGTTTTACAGCAAGTCGTAACAAACGATGAATATCATTCGTATTAATGACACTTTGCATACACAACTTCAAAAAATGATCACGTAAATTAGTAACCTGAAATAGTGAAATTTGAAATAAAAACTTGAAAAAACGGATAGCTATCAGATGAATTATATGAAAATTCGAAAAAAAAATCGTCCACAGAACTATATCACTTTAATAGCTTATAAATTTAAAATGATGAAATATGCAATGATATGCTTTCATCATTATCATGATAATTTGATAAAATTAATTACCTGTTCAATAAGTATAAAACCTAGTAATGGTACTTCGCCGCAACCAATAGCCAATGAAGCAATAACATTTTCTTTAGCTTCTTCAATTAATTCATTACCGCATAGAAGACTATTTGGTGCTAAACTACGCAATTCCAAATTTAACCATTCCAACCAACTTTCAAAATGAAATGCCGAACTACGATACAGCAACCATGAACTATTTAATATTGCGCATAATTCACTACCATCCTAAAATTTTTTTCAAAAATAATAAATTTTTCTTTTTTAAATGAAATCAAAATTAAATTAGAAATTACGGAAAATTCTTTTGCTCAATGAATTTCATCACTACTTTTATTATTTCGTCATTTTAATTTAGCTAATTATTTTAGATTACTGTATAACTTACTATTCTAGCAGTTTCAATTTTATTGTTACTTACTTTAATTTTATCGTCACTTATAATATTTTATCTATCTGCTATTTAGTTTTTGATTTACTTACTTGCAAAACGATTACTGGTATACCGCACTGCAAATGCGCTCGAAGCTCAACAAGTGATGATAGTTCACTTCCACAAAATAGTGCTATCGGTACTGGTAAATTCTGATGCTCACTAGGTGATAATAACACAGTTTGTGATGATGATCGATAAGTATTACCACTTTGTGGTACTTCGCTTAATAATGCTAAAATGTCGTAAAAAAAGTTGAAATTTAAAAATTTTTTATCAATTTTAGATATATAGAAGAAACTCGGAATTTCTTAAAAAAATTTACCGGGTGGCGGTATTGAGAGTTTTAGGGTGATCAAACTTCTGAACAATGCTAATTGATCAGCTGAAATTAACTGCTCCTTCCACAGGATCATCATTGTTTTGCATTGAGTATCAACCATCGGCATATGACAATGTTGTTGTTCATTTATCGTACAACTAATACCATTCACAATTAGCAGTAATGTTTCCACATTTCTTAAATTCTGAATCCACTTTTAAAAATTTGTTACATATATTCAATTGTTTCATAGTTTATTTGAACTCATCGATTGTGCTAAACTTAATTTTATAATTTAAATGAATTAAAAAATTTTTAAATTACTATCAAATTATCCGGCCTTTAAAAAATGCTCAAAATATTCACGAATTCACCTACCAAAGATTCTTTAGCTTGTACGATTTTAGCAGCAGCAGAAGCTAATGGATCACGAGCTTCACCAGATGTCACAAGCCATGAATTACAGTTTAAAATAATTTGCAATAAAGCCCTCTCGATTAGCTTCTGTTTCTACAAATACCTCTCATAATATTTTATTTTTGCAAAATTTAAGGAAAATCACTGAATTTTTTTTTTTAAAACTACAAGAAGAGAAAGATTAAAAATTGGAATGTTAATAAAAAATGAAATGGAATGTGCAAGGAAATAAAAATTCTTTCAAACAAATGCTCGAAGTATTACAAAGGCATAAAAGTCTGGCTTAGCCATTTTTTTTTCGGCGTTTTTTTCAGTCACTTTTCCTTAATAGTCTGAAGATTTTGAAAAATTGAATGCTGTCAATTCAACTTATTTGCAAAATTATTTCTAAATGAAGTAGGTAAATAAACACATAAAAAATAGATAAATAAACAAATAAATAAACAAATAAACAAATAAACAAACGAAGAAATAAATAAAGAAATAAACAAATAAGGAAATAAACAAATAAATATAAATAGAAAATAGCAATAAAGCAATCTTATGAAATTTTTCCATCAATAAAAGCCTCATATAAGGTTGCTGATAGAAAACAATAACCAAATGGATAGGAAAGTGGAAATCTGAAGGACAGAATAATCTTTTTTCTCCTATATAAATATTAAGTCTAAAATAGCAAGTAAAGGTAATATTGCTTTAGAAAATTTGAAGAAAATTGTTTACCTGTAAATCGATAATATTTTTACCGGAAATCAACGAAATGATAATATCCGGAATACCTTCATCAATATGACAGGAATATGAAGCCAAATGAGTGTAAATATGCTTTACCACTCTAGGAATTGCTTTTGGTGATCGAATCAGTAATGCCGGACAGATTTGCTCCATCAAATTTCGACTATCATTATACGTTATTGATTCCACGTATAGTTTAACGTTAGTTGCATGTAATTCATCGTCGTGTAAGGCTTCTTCACCGTTTTCCATCAAGTAAACGAATAGTACACACTGGTTTACCAATCAATTTTTCCCGATGTTGTATAAATCGGAAAAGTTTTCTTTCTTTAAATTACAATATCAATAAAACTCATACGATTTTTACAACCGGCACTAAATAATATTACTGTACGGTAGCCAAATTAGGACTGAAAATTCTTGACAGGAAAAATTTTGTTTTTTAATTTGTTTATAAATGAGAGGAAATTAGGTTATTTTCTTCTCAAAGAGTTACAATTCAACTTTTTGGAACAAAAAGAGAAAATATAAATGAACCAAAAAAAGGAATCGATACGAATTTTTCCAATATTAGCGATTAAAATATAGCATAGAAATATCTATCTATCGTAATAAATCGTACAAATTCTTCACTGGGCTATTTATGTCATACTGTTCTATTGTCTCTCCATTGTTCAGAGGCCGAGATATTTTCGATAACTTCAAATTAATCAAAATTTCAAGAAAGCTATTGTACCAGGTGAATTTCTTCAATGCAATGAACCATATTAATTGCTATTCGATAAACCTCTGATAGGACAGGATGTAAATTTCTAAAATAAAACTTATAAAATAGAAAATCTTTTAAAGAATTTTTTCAATTTTATATTATTTATTAAAATCATAATTTTTTTGGAGCAATCTATGAAAATTTGAGGAAAAAAATCACTAGTAATAATTAAAGTTAATTAATTTCTCTTTTCTCTATAATTGCTACCATAATTTTTACAGCTGTTAAAAAGTGCTAAAATTGGATGACAAGAAATTATTAATTATCTGTAAAATTTTAAATGTAAACAGGCGCGACAGTCAAGAACTCTCACAATCACGGGTCAACGGAAATAAACGAAATAAGCATAGAGAGAAGAAGATGATCAAGGCGGAAATGAGAAACGGTTACAGTGAATGCATGGTGCAAACGTTTGACTGCATCAATCGTTCACTGAAACGGAAGAATGATGTGCGAAAAAAAAAAAAAAGTAGAAGAAGAAATCAAAAGAGAAGTGGGAAAATTTGCTGATCTCAATGCAATCATTAATTAAAAATATAAAGAAAAAAGAAAAAGATTGTCGGATTGATAAGCTGGCACATTAATTGCTGATAAAAAAAGGTCAGATTAAATAATTTGGATCAAAAAAAAAAAAATAGATTGAAACATTATTAAATGTACTGTATCAAATAAGAATCAGCAATAAAAATGTGCCACCGTGAGATTTCATTTTTGCCTTTTGAAATTAATAATGTATTTTTTGCTAATTTCACATCATCATCGATTATTTTTGTAATTAGAATTTTATTTTTTTTTACATCGATAAAAAACATCAATGATAACCTTTTTTTTTTTTTTTTTGATTTTGATTGGAATTTACATTTTACAAAAATCACACTATTATTGTAGTTTGCAAATTTAACTACTCATCCATTTTTCCAAATTAACCATTTTAGTTGCACAGAGTAAAAGAATAATTTTTTTTAGAAAAAAAAAAAAGAAAATCATATTTTAATTCCTTTTTAATTTGATATCTAAATAAAACGATTGTATTGAATGTGCATGATGTTTGTTTCTTCAAAATCTATTTAAATTAAAAACAATTAAAATGTAACTTCCCTTTTTTTTTTTTTTTAAATTGCTCTTATATTCTCTGACTAAAATTATCAATCATGAAAATAGATGAATGGAGAATTGTTAAATTCAATGCATTTCGAAAGTTCATGAGATGACAGGTAAGATCAAAAAATCTGAGCATGTAATTAAATTTTTGATCAAATTTTCCTACTAATTTGTATTATATTTAATAAAACTATGAATTGATTAAATAAATGAAAAATAGATAGATTTTCTTGGAGGAAATATAGTAGAGGTCATATTCAAATATTATTATGGAAATGTCACTATGTTGACCAGTTAACCACTCACATCTTTCTTTTTTTTTTTTCTTCATCTCTCTCTGCTGACTATTCTTATCTGTGCACGCTGACCATTCACATTCATCTCCGCTGACCATTTCATATCTGTCTACATTGACCATTCTCATTTGTCTGCGCTAACCATTGTCCAATTGTAATCTTTCATCAGCAAGGCATGCGATGCGATCATTATGAAGATTTGCAATCCGTCAATAAATTCCTTCTCAAATTTCACTCTTTCTTAATTATAAAATCATTTTGATTTTTCACTTTTTTTTTTTATTTTATATAATCAAAAATTTTCGGGAATGCGAAATTAATCTATGATATAAATTTGCCAAATTTAATTCATAGGGAATAATATATAAATTTATTCTGACAGTCAAATAATTATGCCTTTGCTTATGAAGAAGATTCATAAATATATGAATATATCTTATATTTTACCAACAAATTTGCATGTGAATTATAGCTATGTTTGTAAAACTGCATTGTTTATTCCAATAACTGAAATTCACTTGATAATTTAATCCATTTTATCGTAAAATCGTGCTTTACTATGATCTATTTGTCCATAAATTTTCATGAATTATAATTATGTTTATAAAATTTCATATATGTTTGCTTCAAAATTAGAAATTTAACCGGTTTTATCTGAAGAATATCATGTTTCTCTGTCAAATATCAAGAATGTTGTTCATTTTGATCTTTGACGTTCAAAGTGGATATATAAGCCGACGTATTCAGCATTGTATTGTATTGATAGCATTGTCAGCAGTAAATTTCAACGTTATCAATATTATCATCAACTAAATTTCCATCAAACCTAATAAACTATATCAGTAAGCGTAGTTCCTCACTCTATTAAAGTTATCAGTGTGTCTGGAACAAGTATTTTAGACCAAGACCCGAATAATGAATCCAAGCCTAATTCATCAGATCGTGATCTAATAGAACGATTAAATTCCATCTCAAAAAAAAAAAACAAAAAACAACTAATCATATAACATCGATCCAAAGAAAATCTCTGCTAAAGAAGAAACCTTCACCAATCAAATTTAACTGTGCCACATAACAACAAACCTCTCCCAAACCAAATCAAATCAAACAAACCCAATTCACAACAAAAATTTAAATTCAATGATTGAAAAAATTACAAATTTAATTGCTAAATTGAGTTTGAAATTGTATAATCTCTATGTTACTGTCTACTTCACTTAAAAAAATGAAAAATACCTGTAAAAGAGATGTATCTGTGAATGATGAACAATAAAGAATTCGATGAAATGTTTTGTTGTTAAGCCATTGATGAAAATATGCAACTCAATTTTATTTAAAACATTCACGTAAGTTATTGATTTACGTAAAGTTCGCATGAATTAATGAATCATATAAATTCTGGGAGTTGTTGAATCATGTATATTTATATAAGTTATTGAATTTATGTATGAACTGTTCAGCTGAATTTGCCAATTTATTTCTTCTATTTTTTTTGTTAACATTAAAAAGAAAAACAAACAAAAAATTCGGAAATTAAATTACAAATATGCTCGATGATTGTACTGTTTGTTTAAATTTTAAAATTAAAACCAATTAATAAAATTGAAAAATTTACATTCAAACATTTAAGATTAATTCAAAAATATTTGTAAAAACGATAAGCGCTCATCTTAAACTGAACAACTGACCAACACTTGATAAAATCGACATTCATAATTCCAAATTTTATTTATCAAACAAATATAAACTATCATATTATTAGCTACAAAATCCTTGCGGTGCCAAACATGGCTTATTACCGGCTACTGTAAATAATTTAGGCTTTGATGAGACGCAAACACAAACTCGTAAGGCATCTGTCGAAGCAGTCAACGAAGGAGATGAACTGAGCGGTAATTTCTTCAGGTTATTTCCAAAGTAAAGTTTCTTGGTCGAAAACATTATTAAACCATCGATCTGAAAAGGAAGAACAAATAAAAATAGAATAGAAATTATCATGGAGAATAATCGGTTTCTTTTTAACTAAAATCATACGATAAAATTAAAAAGTCCCCAAAATTCATTCCGCATTGGGATGTATTTTAAACTAATTTAATGAGATAATTCAATGGAGAAGGATGAGTGGGATAATGTATAAAATTAGCAGAAATGATTATCCAGGATAATTGCATTAAAGTGGCATAAAATTCGAATTTATATACGAAATCGTGTTAAAAATATAATAAACTAATTAACAATAATTAATATAGTTTAGACAATTTTTCACACAAACCAATCATAACGAAGGATAAAATTTTCACAATAGAATAAATTAAGTCATTTGTAGGATGAATTTTGAAAGAGGGAAGATGGATTGAAATGAAATGAAAGGAAAAAAGGGAAGAAATGTTAAAGTTTAAACAGATAAAAGTTTAATTTAAACTTCTATCACGAAAGAAGATAAAATAAATTAAATGAGATAATTTAGATAAATTAAAATTATTAATTATCCAAACCGTTGTTGCTAGTGAAATATCATTTCCAGCTGTTAAATTCATTCGTTTCGCCTCGAAATGTATCCCCTCATTACCACGTAATCCTAAATTAGTCACATCCACGTATAAATTATCATTGATCGGTGAACGTATCTGAAAAATCAACCGAAAAAAAATTAATTCTAGCTCTAATTGAATTTAGAATATAAGTTTGAATTTAGCTATAAAATTGTATACAGGTAATATAGGTTTCATTACACTAATTTAATTACTAAAAAAACTAGAATCAAGTTCATCTCAATTAAGCTTAGAGTTAAATATTTTTCAATTATTCTTTCACTTTCATCTTATCCAAATGTTAAAGTTATTTAAAACTGCAGAAAAAAAAACAAGCTATTCTTCATTCGGACTAATTATTGAATTAAAATTTTGTCAACACATTCCGCTTTTGATAATCTCCTCAGAATCACTGAATTATTTCGGATCATATTGTATATTTAAAAAAAAAAAAAACAAAAAACAAAGCAACTCCTAAGTGTTATTCTTCATTCAGCGACAAATTCCAATTTTCAATCTAACTGATGACAGCTTTAAAGTTTTTTTTTAAATGAATTTTGATGATTTACTCAAATAATTAATTTCGAAAAAAAATTTTCTAATTTCTTCAGAAGACCTTATCTGTTATAATTTGCGCTGTAGATATTTTCTTAATCTTTTTGTCTATACGAAACAATGGATGTTGAGCACTGAAGTATGGTCGAACAGCATTTTTTACCTGTAAAATTTGAAATCATACATAATTAATCATTTATCTTTTCTGCAAGTTCATTTACAAAAAATCTTTGTGCATTTTGCTTTTTTAGAAGAATTTAATTCCTTCGGAAAAATTTTTTAGAAAATTTTTGCTCAAATATTTTAACATTTCCAAAAAAAAAAAAAATTTTTTTTTCAAGTTTAAAACAAATTATAAATAATTGTTGTGACGAACGATAAATTGGTTGCTATTTTCAAACCGGCAAATTCCATCCTGTAATACCAAACGACTTTGAGTTGATGTAGCACTAATTATTACCTGAAAAGAAATTTCAAGCATATTTATTTTTGCATTCATTTCAGGTCAGTTTGATCACCTCTCTCTCTTTCTCTCTCTCTCCCTTCCTCTCTGTCACCATTTCTAGACACAAATTGTTTCTAGAAAAATAAGGAGGACAATTTGAATGATCAAAATCATTAAAGAAATTATTAAGCTAAAATAACGGTAATTAATAGCTCTTTGAGATTGAAAATTATCTTAATCAGATGAAAATTATCTTAATCTAACAAACATTCATTAAATTATTTTTAATCTTAAATAGACTTGAAATGTTCAAAGATTTACATTCAAAAAAAAAAAAAAATTTTTAATTTTTGAAAACCCTACAATTATTTCAATAATAAATTTACTTACTCTGGAACCAACAATTGCTAAATCATTCCCTGTACCACCATAAACAATACCACTTTTTGCGATTACTTTACCCAAATGAATTTCATTAGCTGAGAATTTTAACACAACATCCTCTTTATTGGTTTCCGGATGATATCGATTATGGAATTGCAAATGTTTCATACCTCTCGTTGAAATACCCAATACATGAATGATAAAGATATTCAACTGAACAGAGATGTTTTATGCACAATGAATGAGGAATGAAAAAAAAAAACA